TCTCACAACTTGACTGGAGAGTGCAGGAGCAAAGGGATTGAAACTGCCCAGTGCTTGAATGTTAAGGAGAATGGGGAAGTTCCTGCTAGGTAACTGGGCAGAAGTTTAGCTTTGCACCACTGTCAGCCAGGGAGGAGGGCCACACCGCCAGGCTCAGTGTACTAACTGGATACCACCAGCAGGGTCCTAGGAGGAAGGGAAATGGCAGGCATGCCTGTACTGTCCCCTCTTCCATATGCAAAATAGCCAGGAGGTAGGGGGACAGTGGTTTGTAGCCAGACCTCTGCACTGATACATTTTTCTCTCTAAGGGAAATCTGCCACATAAATCAAATTTAGGCTTTTGTAGCATGTTATACAGAGATGACATGCCACCTAGACCACGGCCCAATTTTTTTGGCATTATGTCCTCCTGTGAGTGAACTCATAGCTTGGCTTCTTCAATCCTCCCTGGGGACGACTGTCCCTCCTGCTCCTTTAATTGCATTCCTTGCAATCCTTGCATTGATGTCTAGTAAGTTCTTTGTGTAGGGTTGAGCCCTCATTAGTTTTCCTGCATCCATGTTAGCATGTCCTTGTCCTTGTCCAGCTCACGTTTAGGCAGTCATGTTGGGGAGAATTTATAAGTGTAGCTTCCGACGTAATAGTGCTCCTTTAATTCATTTAGATTTCAACTTTAAGTACAACTAGTAGGTATTACAGAACACAGATTTTTTTTTCTCATATAATTTTAATTTCGATACAATTACTATACTAATGTCACCCTTTACATAATATACAAAAATGAATATAAAGTGTACAAAATCACCCTTGATGTTGTATTGAAGGGACCAGACCCTCACCCAACCCCCTTCTTTAGCAGCCATGACAGAAAAGATCCAGCATGATGTATACCTCTGGCTCAGCAACATGTGCTAGCCTGACCTTGCCTGACCTCCTAGTCATTAGGAAATCAGGTACTCTCCACATGGCAAGGAACCAACCAGAAGTTAGCTGGCAGGCTCTGGATATACTTTCCTGGTAAAAGTGGTGTAACAGTGATGTGCAGAGCATAGCAACCACCCCGGGAGGGCCTGTAGGCCATAACAACCAGTTGACCAATCAACACAGGACAGGTTGCCCAAGCCGGGAAGCGCACCAATCCTGACACTCTTGTGGACCCCTAGACACTCCCCTTGCTCTGCCAAATACATTCTCCACCTCGAGAGGCCCCTTTGGGTCCTTCTCTTTCCACCAACTGTGATGAACGATGTAGGGCCTAAGTTAAGGCAGTTAACTAGTTAAACAAAGGCTCTGTTTTTGCATCAGAATGGGTCTCTTGATGATTTGGGGGTTCAGAATGTGGGCACAACAGTATACTACATCCATTTTTATATATTTTAGTATTGTGCAAACAATACCACAATACAACCTTTGAATGTTTTCATGGCACAAAACTCAGAGCCCGCTTCCCTCCCCTCAGCACCTGGCAGCTGTGCTACAGCAAAAGTTAAGAAGGAAAACCGGGTGGCACGGGCAGGGTTTGGAACCTTCATACACGGGCTGGGAAAGTGTGATGGCCACACTGCCCTGGAAAAGAGTCTGGCACAGTGTGAAAGCAGAGATACTACATGATTCAATAATTCAGCGTCTAGGAATATACCCAAGAGAAACAGGACACATGTTCACACAATAATCTGTATGTGAATGCTCATAGTTGTGTTAGAAAATTGTCAACAGGTAGAAAAAAAAAAACCCTTTCCATCAATAAATTCATAAATACAATGTATTTATAAAATAGAATGGTAATCATTTATAAAAAACCCTTTCCATCAATAAATTCATAAATACAATGTATTTATAAAATAGAATGGTAATCATTTATAAAAAACAGTAACATGCAGCTAAGCGTGGTGCCACACACCTTTGATCCCAGCACTCAAATGGCAGAGGCAGGTGGGTCTGTGAGTTCCAGGCCAGCCAGAGCTACACTGTGGGACCTATCACAACCCTCCTCTCACACAGGAAAGAACAGGAAATACAGATACATACCAGAGGTGGGTCTTGACATTATTTTGAACTTAAATGGTAAAAGATACACGCTTCCATTCATATGAAATGTCCAGGATAGATATAGAGACACTTGAAACTTGAATATTTCCCTGTTTTGTAGGTTGCCTCCCCACTTTGACTGTATCATATATCCCAGGCTGGCCTTGAACTCTTCATGTAGGTGAGGATCATCTTGAAATGCAGGCTCTCCTGCTTTCCACCCTGAGGATTAGAGATGTAAACAACCATACCGACTTGTACAGTGCTTTAGATCAAACCCAGGGGCTCCTGCATGCCAGGCATTTTACCAACAGGGTTACATTTTAGCCCTGTTTTGTTTTTTCCTTTACTTCATGAGTGCTGGAATGACTAACACTTGTCACCATTGTCAGTGAAGATAACCTTGGAAACTGCCAAGAGATAAGCAAGGTAAGACTGGCCCTCCCAAAGATGTGTATGTGGTGTATAGCGCTCTGCACACACACACACACACACACACACACACACACACACACACACACATCACAGGTCACGCCATCTGCACGTGACAGTTTGTTCTGCCTATTTTGGGTGCTTCTTTTACTGCTCCGGCAGACGTTTTGAGGGGCTATCCTGATTCTTGATAGCCTCCATTGGCCTCCAAGGAATTCACTTTGTCATTTCTCCATTATTTAAAAGCACTTTTTTGATTCAATTTTTGTGTCTGAACAGGACCTGTGGTCTCCTTGTCCCTTCCCATATAATGTCTCAAAAACGGGATTCCCCGTTTTGCCCTGTAGGGATTCCCACCGGATTTACACTCTCAGAGAATGGTCACTCTCTTAGGCTCTTGCAGTTGGAAGATCTCACCCTTCCCTCCTTTTCTTTGGAAATTTTACAAAGAAGAGCAAGGAAAGAGTCTGTTGTGCAAGATACCATGCTTCCTAGGAACAAAAAGGAGTGTATAAGCCGGGGGGGGGGGGGGGACAGCAAGGGATGGAATAGGAGGGAATGAGGGACAAACATGGGCGGGCGGCATTGTTGATGTAATGCCAGTTCATGGGAACCAATCTAGAGCAGTGGTTCTCAAAACTCCTAAGGCCAAGACCCTTTAATACAGTTCCTCATGTTGTGGTGACCCCCAACAATACAATATTTTTGTTGTTACTTCATAACTGTAATATTGTGACTGTTATGAATCAAGGTAAATACCTGTGTTTTCTGTTGGATATTAGGCAACCCCGTGAAAGGGTTGTTCATCCTCCACAGGTGGAGAGCTGCTATTCTAGAGCAATTGAAAAGCTATTCCAGGGATTGGAGAGATGGCGTAGCAGTTAAGAACGCTGGCTGCTCTTCCCGAGGTCCTGAGTTCAATTCCCAGTACCCATATAGTGGAACCTGATACCTGCAATCTCTGTATGCAAACAGAACACTCATACATTAAAGAAAGAAATCTAAAACAAAACAGAACAAAATACCAACAAAACCAAAACCCAGCCTGGAAAAAAAAAAAGTGTTTTTTGTTTGTTTGTTTTTTGGTTTCCCGAGACAAAGTTTCTCTGTGTAGCTTTGGAGCCTGTCCCAGCACTCACTCTGTAGACCAGGCTGGCCTTGAACTCACAGAGATCCACCTGCCTCTGCCTCCAAAGTACTGGGATTAATGGCATGCACCACCACTGCCTGGCAGAAAAAGAGAAATTATTCTGTTGTGATTTAAACATGCTATATTAATAAGGAAAAATGTCATCACCATCAACTTACACTACTAAGGTCTGACAAAATTCAATGTATACAAATCTTTAATTCTAGATACTCAAACAAACAAACAAAACAAACAAACAAACAAACAAACAACAACAACAAAACCCACCAGTGTGAGAAAGCTGGGTATGATAGCAACTTTTCCCCCAGTTTTTTTTTTTTTTTTTTTTTTTTTTAACAAGATAGGGTTTTCCCATATAATAGCTCCTGGAACTTGCTTTGTAGTCCAGGCTGGCCTTGAATTTAAGAGATCCACTTAGCTCTGCCTCCCCAGTGCTGGGATTAAAAGTATGAGCCCCCATGGCTGGCTCAAAGCCGCCAGTAATTTTTAATCCCAGCAGCATTCAGGAGGTGTTAACTCTGCTGGAATATGGAGTTCATAGAAACTCTAAAACTCCTGCCCTTCTCCCTATCCCAGGGGAATTCTCAAAGTGTTAAAAGCTGAAAGTTTAAGAAACAGCAAAGCAGCTGGGTGGTGACGCCTGCCTTTACTCCCACCAGTCAGGAGACAGAGGCAGGTGGATCTCCATGAGTTCGAGGCCAGCCTGGTCTACAGAGTTCCAAGACAGCCAGGGTTACACAGAGACAAAATCCTGTACCACTGGCCTTGTGGCCATGATGTCCTTTCTCCTCGGGACCTGAGAGCCTCTCTGGGCTGATTGTTTCCTCCCAGTTGTCAGCCAGCGTTCTTAGCTTTCTGTTCCCTGGAGGCAGAACATTCCAGGAAAAGGAGCAGGACTTCTCAGGGCCGAAAGCTAACAGCTTTTCCTGGAGCTGTATGCTAGGTCTGCTTGGCCATGTGACACACAGAGACCTGGCAAGTCCCCAGGCTGGTTGTCAGCTGATGCTGTGTTTTGACTCAATGCCTGTAGACTCTGGTTTCCTGCTGCTGGAGGTTAACCTCTAGTTACCCTTAGGAAGGGCAGGCAGGTTACTGGGGTATGACTCAACCTTTTTTTCTCGTTTTTTTTTTTTTTTTTTTTTTTTTTTTCTCCTCTTGATTTCAATCCTTTCTATAATTCCAGCAAAGGCAGGCAGATTTCTGGGACTTCCAAGGTCAGCTAAGGCTACATAGTGAGACTGTGTCCCCCACACACAAGTTCACAAGACAGATGTGTCTCATTTGTAAGAGTGCTTGCCCAACATGTGGAGACCCCTGGGTTCCATCCCTAGCACGGTGTGTGCAGGAAATGGATATTGTGACCATCATAGCCAAAAAGCACCCAGACAGTAGAGCCAGATTCGCTTTTATTAGCAACAAATACAATCTCAATTAGTACAATTAGATTCAAGAGTTTATGTTAATGGGAATCATCCCAAATTATGCTTGGGTCACAAATAACTATCCCACATAAAAAGGAGAAAATATTATTCAGACAAGGAAAAGGTTTCCTGTGCCATTTTCGTGGCAGTGAGTAGGCGTTCTTTCTCTGACTGGTCATATCCCACCTCCTCTGTGAATTCTGTCACTCTCTGGGAAGAGCAATGTGGACTAAAGATGGTATCTAGAACATATGGCTGTGTGAAGCTTATGGCACACACTACTTCTATAAAAGCCTGTATGAGAATCTCTGCAGAGGACCCTCAAATACTTAAAAGAGCCCTAGTCACCTCAAAACTGCCCCTTGAGGTAGGTGAGTATTAGCTCATTTTATCAGAAGGATTTGCTCAAGAGTGATATTTTCAGGGTGTCCTCCAGAGGGGATGTGCTGGACACTCACTTTACGATGTTTGGGAAATGAGACCATCAGGTGCTTGGCACAAAATTGGAAGACATTAAAGACGTCATCTCTGGGAAGGGTTGTGATAAAGTAGCTAAGCCACCAGCAGACGGCTGGCTGCTTTACTTTGCTCACCTTTCAGAGCTATACTTTCTGAGAATACACCCAGAGTTTAGCAACCCAAGAACACTTCCCTGAGCGCCACTGCCATGGTCCCGTTTAACAGTAGTAATGAGGGCGCCAATACAATCAAACTATTCAAGTTACATTTCACATCAGATTAGAGCATCGACTAAAAACAGCTCCAGGAAGAATTTTCCCAAATGAAGCCTGTAAAAGATTTCTGCAAATCACTGTATCGATGATCTCCCTGGCAGCCTCTTGTTCATACCATCTTCAAAGTTTTAGGGTTAGGGAGGGAGGCGGGGCTCACATGCACTAAAGATTAGGTACCCAAAGCTGTTAGCACATTAAATGGGAACTGTTAGAAATTCACCTTTGAGAGGATCTGAGAAATAGTGTTTTTTAACCTAAACATTCCGACAGTCTACCTAACACCCACAGATACTGGGACCTCAGCCTGTGGCCTCTATGTAACCTTGTGTTGTGACATGGCCTGAATGGAATAAAATTAGAAGGCTGGGGTTTTTTGTTTGCTTGTTTGTTTTATTTGTTTTGTTTTTGTTCATGTTATAAATCAGGGATCTGATGACCTGGGAAAGGGAAACCGCCCAAAGGGATTTCCAGAGGACGAGGAATCCAGGCCAGCAGCAGATCTACAGCGATCTTTTACAAGATTTTCTGCTTCAATGAACAACCGAAAGCTTGTGTTCACTCAACACAGGCTCTGATCCAATCCCAAGAGAACAGAGCAGTCCTAACAGCAGAGCCAGGCTTCTAGGTCAGGCAACAGGGACAGGAGAGGTTGATGGTTCCAAAATACTGAAGTGATATTTTCTTCTAGCCTTTTCTGTACCATTGCCTGCCCTGGGCTGTGTGACAGGGGATATTTGTTAGTTCATGGCACCTGAGCTACCACACTTCGGTTGAAGCTTTTGCATCACACCCTAGCTTCAGGAAGCAGGACCTCTTCCTGAGCAATTGCCCCAGCTTCTAATGTTTTTACAGAGATAAAATGGGGAAGCTCACAAGCGTTGTGCCACCTGCCTGTTTTGATCAGCCACAGCCACCTTGCAGAGTGTACAAGAAGCCAATGCACTCTCTATTCTAACTCACAGAGATGAAAAATGAAGCGTCTTTGTCAGCAGTTACCTCACTGAGGCAATGTGAGCTTTCGGTTGAGCAGTTCACTCACCTGAACCTAGGATGTTGCTAGAGGGCCTACCATGCTTTTCTGAAGGCATGGCAGAGGCACTTGGGATAGAGGTAGAGAGAATCTAAAGGCCACAGAAAAGCAACACAGCAGTTCCGCGCCCATGGAGTGTTGCATCTGTGGGAGAGGAACAGGCCTAGCTAGCAAGTCCAGAGTGCTCTGAATACACTCAGGCAACTTGCTGCCTGTGCAGGGAGAGAAGAAAATGTCAAAGAACAGAGAGCTGGGAGAAGAATCAATATCAGGGTAGGTAATAACCTCCCAGGTAGCATGATGTAGGCTGGCTGCCCACAAAGCAAAGACTGCAGGGAAGGACTCAGCTGAAGGAGGAAATCACAGCAATGGGTGGAGCTAATACTACTGGATCCCTGGCAGTGTGTTCCCCAAGGGCTTCATCTAGAAATCCACCTCTTAGCAGCTACCTACAGATGCTGACCCTCAAGCTCTCCACTTCCTGTCCAGCCATGAAAGAAATTGACAACCCAGACAACTCCTCTTGTCCTTCAATTTTTCAAAGTGAAATATTTTTACGTGAAGATTTTGTTTATAGCTACAGTTTTATACCATATCCTCAAAACTCTGCCAGCTACTTAGCTATCTGTTTTAGACACACTTCACATGAAGACCTTTTCTATAAAGAAATCCTCTTGTTGCTAAAAGCCAGTCCTTCCCCTCAGCACAGACCATGCATCACTCTTGGACACCTGATTTAATTATTCCAGTGTCACCAAACTCTGAAAGGAGGCATGCTGTAGAGAGGGGCCTGGTGTCTCTGCTAAGGAGGCCACCTTTTCCAATTTCTCTCCCAGTCTTACTTGTGAACACAGCATGAATGATAACTCTTGTCTCCAGATGATCTACTTGCCACGTATCAAGTCAAGAAAATTTCCCCATCCCATCTAGCAAAGCCTGTAATGAAGTTCATTAGTAGGCAGGGAACTTCCAGGAAGGTTTTGTTATGTTTCTAGTTTGAGGCAGCAGCAATCTGGAACCTCAGAACAAGGAAAGAAGTACCTAGGAGGAAGGAGCAATTATTTCAGATACCAGGAAAGTTGTCTAGGCTTTGGAAGGTGGACACAGACCGGTGGTTGGCCAGCTGTTTGTCCAGGAGGCAGTGAGAAAGAAGAGCAACCGAGCAAGATGCAATGCAGACAGGGGATGAACACTGGTCATCATCTCGGCATCAAACAGTGTGTCTGCTGGCTTTTAATACTCTGTATAGAATGTTCAAATTTATTGTTACTATTTAAATTGAGTGAAATTGTATATGCATTTATTGTGTATATGTTTAGAAGGATATATATTGTGGCATGGGTTAATCCTAGCTAATTAAAATGTGTATTACCTCAAAATGTGACCAAAGCGTTCTCATTTTAAAAGAATACTGTGCCCGAATAGGTTAAATGCATCATTAGCATCCTGGTAGCATTCTCCTGGAGTTAACAGAATATTAAATGTCTGCCCAGATAACTTTTGGAACAGGAACTCAGGAGCCCCAGACTCAGCTACTCTTGTGGCTCCCATCTCCAGTCCTTTTAATCCTGGCCATGACAGCAGCCTTAGATACTTTCTTCCGGTCATAAGCCAGGCCCAGGACAGCCATGCAGTCGATGAAGAACGTGGTGAAGTTGATGTGCCAGCGGTACTCACTGGCGGAGTAGTCATAGGGGAAGGCGTGGTGGTAGTTGTGGAAGCCCTCGCCTGGAACAGAAGCAAGGAGAGCCGTTAGGGGCGCGGTGACTGCTGCCTCCTCCTCTTTGCGCACCTCTAACCTGTTGTGTTCCTCCATCCTTTAAGAACCCCGCTGTTGAGCGAACAGATGAACCCACAGTCTTATATTCTAAAGTGAATAGATGCCCTCAGCGGTATCTCAGGAAACCAGCTGACAGGCTCTGCTCACACACGCCTGTCTGGGAGCCTTTGTCAAATCGAGTTTCTGTCTTAAGATGGGAGAGAAGCTGGGTCTGTGGGGACAGACTTCAGGTGGAAAGTACCATCAGTGTCAAGAGATCAGATCCAAGATCTCACAGGATCTGTACATAAGTGCGTGTGTTCAGGAGGGGAAAGGAGGCCAACAAAGGGGGATCTAGGTACACTTCCCTAAAGTTACGGAGATAACACACCTTCCCCACATGCTGATGCTCTCTGTAAGGATAGGGTGTGTTCTAACAGGAGGGGCAGCTGCTGCCAACCCCCCCCCCCCGAGACTGCTGACTCTTGAGTCAGGAGGTACTGAGAAAACAAAAAACGCTTTGAGAGAATATTCTGACCATTCCCGAGAATAACATTTTGAAAGAAGGGGGAAAAAAATCTGAACTCAGGAGGGCTTCTGCAGAGGACGTTGTGTTGTTTACCAGCTCTAACCAGAACTCTTCTTTCTGAATAGATTCCAATAATACAGAACCCAGAAGCGCCAAATGCCCTCTTCTGGTCACTTCGACACTGCACACACATGGTGCACAGCCATGCATGCTGGCCAACCACTCCCACACAAAATAAAAACACAATTTCAAGAAGAGAAAAAAAAAATTTGTTTTTCTTTAAAGATTACTAGTTTTTACACGATCTCACAAGGATGTTCCAAGTGAGTACTTCCCAGGCATCCGTGTCTTGATGTTTATATGAAATAGGAAACCCATAGTGACATGGGAAAGAAAAGGAGGGAGATCATGGGGCAGCGACTGGAGCAGCGAGAGAGCCGAGGAATGCTCCAGGGAATGGTCAGAGAGCACCAGCTCAGCTCGTGACCTGAGGGAAGTAACTCAAGAAGATGATGAGCGAGATAGGAAGAGCTGGTGGAGAGCAATGGGGAAGATGTGAACTGGTTTGGAGTAGTAACAGCCAGACAAGGGATGCTGGCAGCCATTTGGAACTGATGGTCACAAGGAAGGCTCACTGTAGAGCAATATAGGGCACTGTTTAGAGTCCTCCTTTCTATGGAAACATCACATTTGGGTACCGTAGGGTTCATTTCAAAATTGATCAAAGTGGCAGCATACCAAATTGTGCCCGAGCAGAGGATGGAGAGACATAGAATCCAAAAAGAAACTAGGTGGGGGTGGGGCTTTAAATAAAGTTAGAAGTACTAATGAGTGATGATAGGCATGGATCTGTGAGCAAAGTGGTCCCCAGGTTGTCAACAGATGAGCAATAGCTCTGGCCACTGACGAGAAGAAGGCCCTGGATCCTCACAGGGAAAACTAGCTTAAGGATTCAGTTACTGGGAAAGCAGGATTGGTATTGGAGAGGAAAGCATCCAGGAACAGTCAACATCAGATCACACACAAGGAACTTCTCACAAAACTCCCCTCCATCAGGGACACTGGGGAGGAGTCCTCAGTATGGAGCAGCCAGGAGAAAAACAAGGAGGGAGGGATGGTGGTGGGAGTGGAGGGAATGAGTGTGCTATTCAGTGACGTACAGGACGATGCAGGACCCACAGCGGGGAGGTAAATACAAGCGTGGCAACCTGAAGATTACTGAACTAAATTACCACTCTTTTACACTGTACACAGCACTAGGCAATGGCCTAGCTGGGTGACTGGTGTTCTTTATATATGCGCGGGGCTACAAACCTCCCAGGGGACTGGAAGAGGGAAACTCAGAGGCTTATTGTAGGCAGCATTTAGAAACTGTTTTACAACCTTTAAGCCAAAGCAAAACTACTCTTTGCTCTTTCCATTTTACATTAAGAATCGTTACTTGCCCAACTCTCATAAGGGTTTTCCGATATACTCCTCCCCAACCCCCCAGGTTTATAGCGGAAAAACCGCACTATACAGTACTCATAAAACAGGTCATTCTGGTTCCCCTGGCTCCTAAACAAATACCCCAACCGGCAGGTCCCTAGATATAGAGTCATGCTGAGGATTAGTGACTTACCCACGGCTCCCAGGGAAACCAGGATATTCTCTCGAGATTCAATGTTCTTGTCGTAGGGCCGATATCCATAGAGGTGGGCGGCGCTGTTCACCAGCCAGGTGGCATTGAGCACCAAAGTGTATCGCAAGAAGGTGCTAACAAACAAGCTGTTCAGGAAAGTTTCACCCCAGTAATACCAGGGCACCAGCGTGGGCAGGATGAAACACATCAATAGGAGACCGGGCTTGTAGTACCTACGTGGAGAGATTGCACACTGAGTACAGAGAGACTCTTATGCCTACACAAACCATCTTTTCTAATCAGGCAGGGTTGTGTCACTTTTATGGCTGAGGATGGGACAGATTATCAGCATGAGGAGGTGGCATCCTTTTTTAGATAAGGATCCACGGGTGTAACAATATTCTAGGATCATCCGACTGGGTAGAGTGTGTCTCTTATCACTTCTTTTCCTGACTACAAATCTACTTCTTTCATAGGAGCAATAAGGTCACACTGGTCAAACTGATCCCGGCCTCATCAGCCAATTGCGCTGCGGTTGTCTGTCGGTCTGAGCTCCTTTCTCTTGCCTGTTGTGGTCTCCAGCAGCTTATGGCAAGTGTCATGCAATCATTTCCTGCTAGCACCTTGTAGGTCCTTGATCTGCTTTTCCCCCAGGGGGCCCATCATCCTTGATCATCTGCAGGTCTCTGTCCCTCTAGAGGCCCCGTCCCATTCCTCGTTTCCCAAAACAAGGGGACCGACTTCCCTCAGCAGTTATGTCCATTACTTCTGTGACACTGACATTCCCTCAGTCTAGTTCCTTTCCATTCTGGTCACTGCTTCCCTCGCTTGAGACTTCCTTGGGGTCTAACCTATGACCCTGCCCATCACCTTCCTGGATCCATGATTATTTTCACCTGTCTTGAAAGTGGCTTCTCCAAAGCCCATCTGACTATGCCCCATGCTGCCAGAGAATGCTTTGGTGGTCCCCCAAAAGCGTCTGAATTAATATTGATTCTGAGCCTGTCCTTGCAGTCAGTCCTGTTCCTGTCACATGCTGCATTTCACAGAGAAGGACTGTGTTTCAGGAAATGCCATGTTGCACTGGCCCAGCCCACCGCACTGACGGAGCCTCGCTCTTCGGCTAAGGGGTCCCTTTTCATTGAGCTACATTTCCACTTTGTACTTAATCATGGTAAACAGTGTTATTCTATCTTAGGCAGTGATAATTGAGGTTCATTCCTCCAGCCCCAAATAGGCTGACAATTCCTTGGTAAACACTCAGCTGTGTGTACCATGTTAGGACTGATAGAGTTCTTGGTTTTGTCAAGATGGCTCAGGCAGAACACCAGGTAATTATGGCTGTGAGCCTAATGGATGCTGGATTGGAGACTTAAATGATTTTGAACTCATCAACATGGCAAATAACCCAGTTGTTATTTTATAAGTCCTAGGAGAAAAGGTGGAGACCCCCAAGTCACAAGCTCCTCCAGCCCCAGCTACAACCCCCACCTCACTCACCGCCTCTGGAACATGACCAGCTTCTCGGCTTTTAGGTCAGACATGTCCAGTTTTCCTCCCTTCTCTTTGACAGCCGGGTGTTTGCGCACAAGCAGCCAGCCCACGTGAGAGAAGAAAAAGCCACGCCGAGAATTGTGAGGGTCAGCGTGTGTTTCTGAGAATTTGTGGTGGGCACGGTGATCTCGGGCCCATTCATACACGTCATTCTGGAGGGACAGGAAAGAGGACCCCAGGATTGAGAAGAGAAGCCCTAGGAAAACCTAGTACCCAGATATCTTCAAGAGACTCCAATCCAACTCAACAGCCAATAAGACCTTAGCTCCAAAGGGAGACTGGGGTGGGGGCTGTTCTTTTGTACACTTGTTCCTAATGCTTATCTGGCAAAGGCCCAGAGCACACTGAAGGTTGTGCGTGGGGGAGAAGGAAAGTCACAGCACTCACAAAGAACACTGCAGTTCTTGAAGGAAGGAATGTGGGAATGTGGGGGCAGACCAGGAGGCAGGTGGCCTTGGATCCCAGGGAGTCACTCTGGGGAAAAGATGCAGGGCATGCCACTCTGATGCTTTCACAAGTGACAGCCCACCTAACCTAGTTGTAAGGCCAGCATATAACTAATGAGCATGAGCACATTTCCCTCAGACCTCTCAGTTAGTCTCGGACATGTGGGAAACACTTCACATATTGTCACTAAATAGGACTAATTTGATTCCCGTTTTTCTCTCATAAGCCTCACTCCACAAGTCATCCTGTGCCCACTGTTTCTCTTCCAACCCTCCTCATCTACTATAAACCAACTTCAGTACCTGACCTAGCCAACTCAGCAACCTCAGCTAGAACGAGGTTGGCCAGTCAGCCTTCCTGGTCTATAGAGTAAGTTCCAGGCCAGCCACTGCTACACGGTGAGATCCTATCTCAAAAATAAACAAACAAACAAACAAACAAAAAAAGCCCAACAAAGCCATGGGATACCAATAATATTCACCAATATGCCTGTGAGCACTTAATGGGTTAACTGATTCCAAGTGCTTAGCAGTGCCCAGCACAGCCAGCACTGTATAGAGATCCTAATTCTGTGTCACATGGCTTTCAGTGCTGTTGTGGTGGTATTCCAAGACAGTCACAATAAAGCATAGTTTACTTCCCAGTAAGAGTCCGGGAACCCAGAGCCAGTGCAGACAAATATACTGTGGCCTTGAAGTCAAAAAGCGACCCAAACCGGACAGCCTTTCCTATTTGCCTCCCACTTATCCTCCCAATAACCTAAGCCCCAAACCTGTAAGCCCTGAAAACCAAAAAGAGCAATCCATGGTGGACCTGAGAATTCTCTAGACCTGATCCCCACTGCCCACCCAGATCATCCATGGGGTAGACACAACTAACAGCAGCAGCTACTCACCTGGAAAGCCATGGTGTTGGCCAAGATGAGAAAGAGCCGCAGCGGCAGCCGAGCCTTGTAAGTTCGGTGACTCCACAGGCGATGAGCCCCGGCCGTGATGCCCAAGGCACTGATGACGTAGTACAAAACCCCTGCAAGACAAAGACAATGTGGGGGGGGGCACCAGCCGGCAAGTTTCAGCAGTGGAAGTAGTCAAGAAGGCCTCCCCAATGCCAGTGTTTGTCTTTGGGCTTTGGCTAAGGATGTTTTCCACTGAACCCTAAGAATCCCTTGGTCTCTGAGGCCTAATAGCCTTGCCACTTAAATGGGCAGAGCTGCAAACTCTTCTAGCAGAGCTCAGGATAAGCAAGAGCATTGTGAACTCCACTCCGAACACTGACCAGTTAGAGAATCCCTAAAATGTAGAGGACATTCAAGTGGTGCTGCTGATAGTCACATTTGAATGGGAAGGAACTGTGGCCACATAAAACAGCTCTGAAAAGTCACATTTGCAGTGTCCCAAGCTTTGCCAGTGACCTTAAGACTCTCAAATTCACAGAGTGGGTGTCACTAATCCTGTGTGGTGGTACACACCTTTAAACCTAGCACCCTGGCAGATCCCTGAGTTCGAGCCCAGTCTAGAACATCCAGAGCGACACTAAGAAGCCCTGTCTCGAAAACAAACAAAACAAAGCCCCTATACTTTACATGAGGAAGATCCCAACCTAAGAGAAGTGAAATGTAAACAGGGTCACACAGCTAGTCAAATAGGAGCCCGACACCAGAACATCTCTCTGCTTCTCCATCTTCTGAGCCTGTAGGCTTAGAAGGCACTAAATTTGATCTCCAGCGGGGAAGGAGATTCCGCGTGTAACCAGCTCTTTTCTGGCCAGTGCTAGAATGTTGGGGCAGAGACCTTGATAGATACTGCCCTAGGGAGTGTCAGCAACAATGGGTCCTCAGTGGCCATTGACCTTAGTTGCAGTGGAGAGAGACTACATGTACAAACTGTCGCATGTCCTTGTAGCAGATAGCAATTACCTAAGCAGCTTCCTGCACTCCCCTATTTTCCTCTTACAAAATACTTCCAAACCACAGTCAGTGTCTGTCCCTAAGCAAAGCTCCAGCCACGTTCTCTCAGAGCTGGGATTGTAGCACCAGATGCTTCCGACTCATGGTCATGTGGCAATCTGCCTGCCCTATGTACAAGATCTGACCACACTATACCAGAGTCCCGGAGAACCACTAGCCATCAACAGGAAGAAAGAAAAGGTTTGGGGCAACATAAAAGCCCTCGATTTTGCACCAGTGAAGCATCCATGTTGGTTTCATGCTGTAGATGGCCCAGGCACAGTCTGGACCACATATGATACCATTTAAACAAGAGAATTGGGAGGAGAACCCAGTCACCCCAAAACAGTCTTCTACTCAGACCTCTCAGTGAATGCAGGTAGATGGTTCAAAGCACTTAGACGACCTCCCCACCCACTATTGTGTCCACTTGGTGGTAAACGGGACAGCTCAAGAGTTGTTTTAAGAACTCTTGCTGGAGCCAGGCTGCACACCTTTAATCCCCAGGATTTGGGAAGCAGAGGCAGGTGGATCTCTGAGTCTGAGGCCAGCCTGGTCTATAGAATGAGTTCCAGGACAGCCAGAGCCCCTGCTTGGGGGAGGGGGGAGTGGGCTGGAGCTGGGTGTGGTGGCTCATGCTTTTAATTCCAGCACTTGAGAGTCAAGAGGCAGGCTGATCTCTGTGAGTTCAAGGACCAAAGTCAGCCAAGGCTACAGTGAGGCCCTGTCCCCCCCCACCCAAAAAAGGGTGGGAGAGGGGGAGAAGAGAGAAGAAAAGAAGCAGATTCTTTGGCCCCGCGTGTTATCAGAGATCTCTCCAGAACCGCGTCCTCTTGTAGAGTTTGCAAAGAGAACAGAAAGGCTCTGGGACCACCTGCCTCAAGAGAAAGACTAGGAAGCGGCTCAGCTAACCCAAACAACACGACCTTCCCAATCCTGGCAGGGCATTGTTGCTACTGGGAAACCTGCCGTCCCACGAAAGAGGATCCTCTCGGATCTAGGGCATCTGGAGAAGTTTTTTTTTTCCGAGACAGGGTTTCTCTGTGCAGCTTTGGAGCCTGTCCTGGTACTCACTTTGTAGACCAGGCTGGCCTCAAACTCACAGAGATTCATCTGCCTCTGCCTCCCGAGTGCTGGGACTAAAGGAGTGTGCCACCACCACCCGGCCCAGGGAACTTCTAGGATTAAGCTCCCAAGACCAGATCTAAGCGCTCAGAAGAGCTAACAGTCCCAGGGCAGGGGGAGCCGATACCTGGCTAGCCATCCTTTCACACCCTTACCCTCTGAGAGAGCTGCTACTAAGAACCCATACTGCTCCAGAGAAACCTCCACACAATCCCTCAGAGGGCAGCAAGTGGTACTCTCCCCTTCCTGACTCAGGTTTCATAGATGAAAACACATGTAAAGAGCACAGGCATCTTAGAGGTGGCCTGGCTGGCAGCCTACACCCAGGGAATCCCTGGGTCGGGGGCTGAATTAAGGCTGGGGCTGATGAAGGTTCTATTCTATTAGAAGGTTTTATTAGAAAGTTTTGGGTTCTTGGCACTTATGGTGTCAGGAGACAGGGCAGGAGCAGGCTAGATGAGGAAATGGAATGGATGTGAACCTTCTTCCATTCTTTTGGTATCTTGTTGACTGGCAGGTCTGCTCCCTGGAGAATGACCTGGAGTGGCTGAGTCACACACCTGTATACTTGGGTGTTGTAGAAGCCTACATCACCTTCCTCTAGAGCAAACCAGCTTGATCTGGTCAGGGGTTGAGGTCAGAAGAGTTGTGTAAATACCACCCCCTTTTCCTTTTCAAGGACCTCTCCAGTGCAGCCTTTCCGGGCTCTGTTCCCGGCTCTGGCAACCCACAAGGCCTCAGATTTAGTCCTGATTCCCATGCCTCCCAGGTAGGGCACGTTGCTCCTGAGTCACGTGGGCCTGGAGTAAGCAGCTGAGCAAGTGACTCACACAGACAAGCTTGTTTAGAGAAAGTTGCTTCTCTGCCTTAGGTAGACCCCTCCAAGCCCCCCTGCACAGGGACCCAGAATTCATGTTAAGGGATGCCCAGTCCCACAAGGCTCTGCTCCCAGGACCTGAGAAATCTGGACAGAGGGGCCACTCACTGCCTTGGGTCAGAGATACCTCATTAAAAAGCAAAGAGAAACCAGAGGTACTGGCCCAAGACGAAGGGAGCTGCTTACCGAAGAGGCAGGTATAGATCTTGCAGGACGGAACCAGTATGACCCCATACAGGGCCCCCAAGTGCAGCAGGGCCATGAGGATGATGTTTCTCCAGACGTACTCCAGCTTGGGCGGGGGCCCCTCCTCATCCTGGTAGCTGGGGTCGTGTATGTCTTCTTTCATTTCGGGACGGATGTCTTCTTCCAGGTAGAGGGGCACCGTCTTCTGCTTCTCGCGTCCATTCTGCAGGCTTCCGGAGGGAGGCGCTGTAATGGTGGTGGTGGTCGTATAGGAATTGGAGATCTGCAAGGACAAATGCAGTCAGGGAGGGCAGTTCTGTGGAGGCCTGCGTGGGGCAGGAGTGTGCCATTTTCCTCACGCTTGTGCAGCGAAAGGTACGGCAAAGGCACGGAGACAGCCCCGGAACTCAGTCTGCATGGGGGCGAGATGTACTCTGAGACAGATCGGAAGTTTCCAGAAACTGTACAGATTTGTTGCGGGGGGGGGGGGCAAAACCTCAAGGTGAAGGACCAGTAGGGGTTAAGAGTGAAACACAAACACACACGTTTCCGCACGACTCCCTTTTCTTTACTTTAAAGCGTAAAACACGAAAAGTTGAGACTCAATTGCCCGAATTTCAATTCATAGCTCGCAAACGACTTGGCCGCACTAGAACTCGAGAAAACCAAGTAGTCCCAAGAACTCTCAACTCTCTCCTCCGCGGACCCAGTTACCTAGAAGCCCAGTCCGCGTGGCCGACGCGCGGGGCGCGGGCCGCTTCTGCACGCTCACCTCTTGGAGCATGTGGGCAGGCATCGTGGCTGCCGGCTGCTGGCCTCACTTTCCCAGCGCTGAGACGGAGCGTGGACTTCGGTTCCGGAGCCCACTGGTGCGGGCGATTGGCCGAGCTGGGCTCGGAAACCTGCGCTCCTGTTCCGCGGGATGAGTGTTCAGCCCGACCTGGCTGTGCGCAGATCTTCCCGGGATGGGAATTTAAAGCGGAGAGCAGGCGATGGGATGACGGTGTTTAGTATTTCCTCAGACCCCTTTTATCCGCTGCCAGCAAAGGGCAAAGTGCGCCGGGCTAGCTAGCCAAGGAAGCCAGGCGTGGAGGTGAGAGAGGGAGGGACTAAGAAGGGGAAAGAAAGCCAAGTAGATTCCCGAGTAGACCTCCGAGGCGCCGGGATGCTAAAGGCTTCTACACCGCGCGGCTCCAACCCCCTGCCTCGGGGCAAATGCTAATGCGCCTCCTGCAAAGACTGTCTTGTCATTGGCCAAAGACAATTTGGTGCCACCTCGTCCTGCCTTTTCCATTGGCTCGACGCAATCTGCTGTTCCCTCCGCTACTAGCTCCTCGCTCTCCCCCTCCCCTCTTTTTCTCCGTGTGGTCTTTGCGGTGGGCTGATGAGTGACTTTTCTTTAAGAAGAGGATTACTTGCTCCTCTGAAGGGGTTTTGTACATGCCTAGGATTGTCTCCGGGCACTTAGCGAATGGTTCGCTGGAGAAACTGCAATTCTAGAAGTGAGGAAGTCATGATGGCTACTGCCACTCACAATTCGGCTCAACTTCACGCCCACCCCCATTTTCACACTCGTGCAAAGAGGAAACTGGCCTCTACCCGGGAGACGGCTGGGGCGGGAGGGCGCGATCCGCCTCTGGGTGTCTAGCGCCCACGGCTCTGGCCTGGGGAAACTATGGTTTATCTCGCTTGTCAGCACCGGGATGCTAACTTCAGACACAGCGATCTGGGGTGCAGAGAGCTAACTAGCAGAGTGAGCTCACTCATTGGCCGCACTCTTCAGGGGACCGCCTCTGCCGGGAGCCGGAGCCCAATCCTATCCCCACCTTCCGAGCGGGAGGTTTGAGAGTCTTTCTGATCCTTAAATTGGAATCTGGGGATCTTCCAGGGAAATGGACTAACAAACGAGGTATATTCACACAGATGCATTCACTCTGCAACAAGTCAAAGGGCCTGCACGTGCAGTAGGAGCAGCGAACATGCAGCGGTCCCTAACAACTAAGCACAAGAAACATTTTGCTGAACCCACACTGTGACCCAGGGCAGTGGGTACTCCTTGGTGATGATGAAGACTGGTTTCTTTTTAGACAGGATCTCTGTAGCTCTGACTGTCCAGGAACTCACTATGTAGACCAAGCTGGCTTTCAGCTCTCAGATCTCCGTCTGCGTTTGAACGCTGGGAGTAAAGGCACACCACCGCCACACCCAGCTCCTTGCTCTTTTTATTTAAAGAGGAAGTAAGTGAGACAAAGAGATGATGAAGTTACGGGTGGCCTTGCTTAGCAAGTTTGTGGTGGAGCTAGAAATAGAGTAGAAAATGAGTAGCTGCCTCATCAATCTATTTTAAAGTCGGTGGGAGGGCACGCTGTTAGCCCCAGCATTCAGAGGCAGGTGGATCTCCATGAGTTCTGGGCAGCCTAGTCTACACAGTGAGGTTTTTTTGTTTTCTTTTCCAGATATGGCTTCTCTGTGTTGCTCTCACTGTCTTGGAATTCTATTTGTAGTCTAGGCTGGCCTCAAATTCAGAGATTCACCTGCCTCAGCCTCCTGAGTGCAGGGGATTAAAGGCCTGCACCAGCATGCCTAGTTTACATAGGGAGTATATATATACATATAATTTCATGTATGTACATATATAATTCAGCAGATATTTTAATATAGACGAGTGGAAGTACAAAATAAGCTTGAAAGATAGAGATAGGCATTAGAAGTTTCCTGTAGGTACCATGACGTTTTCGAGATTCCAAGAAATTGAAAAGAGAACAAGAAAAAAAAAAAAATCCCTACTTAGCTCTCCTCAGTAAACAGGCCTTCTCAAGTGGTCTTTGTGCATTTATTCAGACAAGACTGCACATATTCAGGGCAGGTCTGGGTGTGCAAAAACTACATGCTTGGGAAGCCTCTCCTGGGTCCCAGCCATTGCTCTGGGTGCCCCTATCCCACAAAGCACAAGGTGACTCAATTCACCCGGAGGGGTCTTCTGAAGAGGATGGTGTTAGATAACCATGTGTCACCCACATTTGAAATATTGCCACTGTTGAAATGGACCGGCCTAGCACATAATCTAGGGTTGAGTGGTGTTCTGTTTCACCCACCAAGCCATCCTTCTTTCTTGACATAAAAGACCTGGCGGGCCCTCATAGCTGGAAAAGAACTGCCTTCAGTTCATCGTTCTATTTCTCCAACTAGGAAACTGGTTCCCCTTAGAGCAGGGATAGCCTCTCAGCAGAGACTCTAGACTCAGTAGACCTCCCAAATGGCAGTTGCTAGAGTCCTAACAGTTATGGAAGGGAAAATTATCAGTCTTTTTAAAGGGACTTGTATAAACTGACAGAAAACTCAAAATGGTTAAAAGCAATAGAAGAATTATAATCTATAAATAATCTACAAATATTTAACTTTATTAATTATTTTTAAAGCATTAATTAATGTAAGTTGTTACTATGAAAGACCTGACAATATTCACAGGCTGGCCCTGAACTCATAGCGATCTGCTTGCTGCCTCTCCCCTCCCCCATCCTCCCCCTGGTCCCCTTGGGATTAAAGATGGAACCATCACACTTGTTTGAAGATTTGTTGTTATTTTTAATTTTTTGTGTGTATGTGAGTGTGTGTGTGTATGTGTGTGTATAGGTGTGTGAGTGTGTATGTGGTGTGGGGGGGATGTGTGTGTGTGAGTGTGTGTGTGTGTGTATGAATGGGTGTGGGTGTGTGGGTATGTGTGCAAGCTCACCTGTGCAGGTCAAGCCTGTGGGAGCTGATTCTCTCTTTCCACCATGTGGGGCATGGGAATCAAACTCAGGTCGTAGGTTTAGCAGGAAATGCCATTACCTGCTGATCCGTCTTGCCAGCCCATCAGAGAGATGTTCTTTAAGTAATTTTCCTTCATGGTGCTGCAGAATCAAATCTAGGGCCTCCCCTATCCTAGGCAAGTGCTGTACCACTGAGCTACGTCCCAGCCTATTGAACTGTCACACAAGCATATGCAATAAACATTGCAGAACTATGCAATATATGTGCTATAGCTATGTCATAGTTTACATTTGCCATTTATAGATTTGATCTAGGACTTGTTTTCAGTACAAATAATGTTGTGTTTGTAAATTAAGTTATTCTGCCATCAGCAGCTTTAAAATACTCATTTCAGGGGGCTGGAGAGATGGCTCAAAGGTTAAGAGCACTGGCTGCTCTTCCAGAGGTCCTTAGTTCAAGATCACAGCAACCAAATGGTGGCTCAAAACCATCTATAATGAGATATGGCGCCCTCTTCTGCCACAAATACTCATTTCAGGGCTCAGACAGAGCATTCACTTAGAGCACACAAAGCACTGTGCTCAGTACTCAGTACCAAGTGCTTACCACCACATAAACCAGACAGTGCACGTGCACACACACACACACACAGACACACAAACACAGACACACAAACAGACACACAGACACCGAAGCACACACACACACACAGACACACACACAGACACACACAGACACACACAGACACAAACAGACACACATACATAAACACATGCATACACAGAGACACACAAACATACACACAGAGAGACACACAAGGCACACACACAGGCACACACAGTCTCACACACAAAGAGGCACATAATAAATTTAAATAACAACAATATCTGAGCGAGGCATGGTAGTTCATACGTGCAGTTCCAGCACTTGGGAAATGGAGGCAGGAGGTTAGAAGTTCAAGACCCACCTCAGCTAGGTGAGGGGTTTGAGACTAGCACAGAGTACAGAAGACCCTGTCTCCAACAAAACAAAATCATCTCTGGTGATCCCAAAGTGTGTTCACATTGTGACAGAATTCACAAGCAGGACATGAACATACATTTTTAAATCTAATCTCAACCAAGTTAACTCATGTAGTAGAAAGGAAAGGAAAATAAGAAGTTGTTTTGAAATTTACCAGATTCCAGCCTAACTTGGGACAATTTATTTTGTGAACTTTGACTCCCTCAGCTGGAAGAGGGAGACAGACTATTCATTAGGAAAGGTTGCTTGAACTGTTTTACAGTGTATTGAGAAAGTTGTGATTGTTACATCCAGGCCCCTGCATTCTGGATTCAAAGCACATGAGGTTACCAAATGCCATCCTCAGGCCCCAGTTCCCATTCCTACTTCATAGCTTATCCCTTTGCCAAGCTACATGCATAGCTCTCGATTTCAGCCACCAGGTAGAATCACCACAAATCCTCCTCACGTCTAAAAGCAATTCTCTGTTTTCCCAACTTTTCCTCACTCTACTCTGTCAAAATACAGTCATTGCTATGTACATACGCAAGAGAAATACCTCAGGAATACGTGTACATACATGTAGGAAAGGACAAGGGATCTCCCCACACTGTTTTAAAGATTAAAGGTTTTGTTTTTGAGATAGGGTCTCATTGTGTAGCTCTAGTTGGCCTGGAACTCACAAGTAGGCCATACTATTCTCAAACTTGGTTCTGCCTGCCTCTGCTTTTCAAGTGTCTGAATGCTGGGCGGGAAGGCATGGGCCACCATGCGCAGCCAATGTGAAGGTTCTTTTCATGGGCTGGAGAGATGGCTCAGGAGTTAAGAGCACTATTGGTCTTCCAGGACACCAGGGTTGGATTCCCAGCACCCACATGGCAACTTCACAAACATCTGTAACTCCAGTTCCGGGTGATCTAGTGCCCTGTCTGGCCTCCTCAGACACCAGAGACACGCATGGTACTCAGATATATATGCAAGCAAAACATCCATACACACGAAGTAAAAAAAAAAAAAAAAAATATTTCCAGGGAGATGCATGGAGATGGTTTTCAAGCAGCCAGGCCCTTTTATAATGCCAGCCACTCACAGCAGGGGGAGCTGGGTAGAGATTTAGCAGCCTGCAGAACAAAGAAAAACCCTTATACATTTATAGATGGTACAAGAGATCTTTGAGCTCAGAGGGTAGAGAGCTCTGAGTGTAGCAGATTACTGAAGGTACTAGCTAGGGTATAAGGCCATACTTGTTTTTGTTTTTAAGCATTTATTTATTGTCATTTTATGTGTATGGGTGTTTGAACTACCTGTATATCTAGGTAACATGTGTGTGCAATGCCCTCAGAAGCCAGAAAAGAGCAGCAAATTCCCTGGGACTGGAGTTACAAATTATTGTAAGCCTCCTTGTGGGTGTTGAGAACCAAACCCAAGTCC